GACAATTCACCTTTTTACCCAAGCATTTCCAAAGTGCTACCAACACAGCTGAAGGAAAAACCAAAAAGTGTGAATGGCTGCTCTGAGGCAGAGTTTTGTCTGAGGCAGAGGTAAAAATAGCCACTGACATTTTCCTTGTCTCATATTTGAGCCCTGAGTATGTCTCATGCTATTTGTCACCCAAGAAAGATGGTAAAAAAAAAGGTGTTAAATAAAATGACTCCTGTGTCTTTCTGTTGATGGGATGTGGAAAGGCAGAGGAGAAGGTTTCTGTGCTGTGCTGGTCAGTGACTACTCAGATCAGAGGTGTCTGAAGAAGTTGTCATTGGAGATGCTCACAAAGAGCATCTATCCTGAGATTTCTGCGTCTCTGGGAGAAATGCTGCCCAAAGCAACTCCCTGGACTGCCTTTTGTATGGTGGGTGGGATGGGCTTGAACTTGTCTTCAGCATTTCTAAGGCAATGTGTAATATCTCTAAGCTTGTGTGCAATTAAATGCAAGAATCCTTGCAAGTGGCATTTTGGGAATACTCTCCCTCATCTACATCAGGGTGGTCAACTCTTTGCTTTTGAACATTTTTCACAACCCCAGGAACATGGGAAAGAGGTTAGGGCAAAATACAGCTCTGGGCTGAAAGTGATGTTTTCATGGGCTCCGTTCAGCCCTTTCTCTCCTCTGTCATCCCTATCCAAAGCTCTGAGGGTGTTCATTTGGCTGGCAAGGCAAGCAGTGCAGCAAAGGGCTGGACATGTTTTTGAGCTGGGCAGCATTGTCATTTGCTTGGCCTGAAAACAGTTATATTATAAGGGGGATTCTTTTGCAGACCCCATCAAACACCACTCAGGTTAGGCTGATTTGTCACAGTGAGCTCTTTTAGGCTGATCTTGGTGCATGTGACCAAACTTTTGGTAAAGACCTTGGGGGTGTCTGCAAAAATCCATCACCACTAAAGATGGCCATGGCCATAGATTTCTGTCAGCTGGGAAATGTGCCAGCTCCCTCCTCCCAAAATACCTCAGCATGTCCTCATTTCTCCAAATAACTGTCAGAGTATGAGGGTGCCAAAGAGGGGCTGGGGAGAGAGCAGGGCTCTTCATCCTCATGACACTCAGGCCCAACTTTCCTCCGCCACTCCAACAGATGCAATCAAATCAGAACTGGTAAGAGCAGTATCTTCCTTTCTACTGGAAGGTGATGGAAGGTGTGGGCTCCAGTTTTCTGGCAAATGGGTGGATGCTGTCAGCATTAGGATTTGCCATCCTTACTGATGTCCTGGGATTTGTTTCAAGGATTTTTGTAGCTAACTATATCCAAACCCAGATCACTGGGCTGAGAGAGTCCAGTAAAAGAATAGAACTGAGTGGGATGGTCTCATGAGCAATAGACACAAGATCCCTTTCTGTTTATGAACAAGTTCTTCTGTTTCACTCCCTGGAAAAGGAATCAGGAATGGGAGATGTTAAAGGACCAAAAAGGAATGAAGATGCATCTGTAGGTCTGTAACTGTAGTGTGAGAAAAAGTTACAAAAGAAATGTCAGCATAGGATCACACTTTTGGTAATGAGCTGATATATAAAATGTGGAAAATGTTAGGATTTCAAGCATCAGCTGTGTGTCCTAATGGTGTATTAACCACCTAATGCCTTGGAAAAGGTTGTTAGAGGCAAGTAACAGACACAGAAGTGTGAAGCTGGTTTTACCTGAGGCAGAACCTTCCTGCAAAGGGCAAAGAGGGATCCAGGCAAGGACTCCAGCATCCAGGATGAGGACTTGTGCCCACATACAGGCTACTTCTTTTGAGACAGTGGGAAGGAAATTTCCTATCCTTGTAGTGAGAGAAAGCAGAGAGAAAGCTGATCAATGTGTTGAACCTGGGGGGCTATCACAGCAGTGCAAAGGCTAGTAGCTTCAAAAGAGCTCAGTGCTCAGAGAGCTGAAAGAGTCAAAATAGTAGCAGCAGGAAGCATCTTTAAAATCCACTGTGAAGTATTAATAATGAGAATTGCAAATAAGGTCTTTGAATTGCTTTGGATGGGCATCTTGTTCCAAGAAGTGCCTCCCTGCCTCTCTGCATGGGTGCCAGTGGGACAAAGTCAAAAGGCGCATTGTCATGGGTGAAAAGTGAAGAAGCTGTTGTCATTATTATTAGCATCGGTATTAGTATTTATTAGTAGTATTATGCCAAGCTCTTTCAAAGCTGATGGTTCCACCTGCCTTTAAATCTTCTCTCAATTTTCACCAATGCGTTATCTAAGCATTTTACTGTCTTCCATGGGAGTTGAGGAAACCCTGCCATCCCCATCACCTGTGGTGCACAGAGGGATCAAAATGCAAAGAAACCTGTGTATGGCTGTCAGGCTCTGAAGTGCATCTGAGAATCCCACCAGGTGCTCACCTGCCTATCAAAAACTGAGACCATTTGATTCCCCATAAGTCAGTGGAAGATAAGAATGTGCACATGGGTTCCTGATATCACTGAGCTCAGATGCTTTTCTGCTGCCTGCTGCAAGGGAAGGAGCTACAATATTTATCTTATAGGGATTAGAATTAGAAACGCATTTGTTAAAGCAAAACAAAACAAAACACAATCCTTTGTTCAGTTTTACACGAGCAATACTCCTGGGTTTCTTCCAGATGTAGACGTATTATTGTTACAATAAAGTAATATTTATTTTTATTCTCCTACTTTGCCTTTTTCTCTTTAACCAAGTTACTATTTTTAAGTTGAAAGCACACACACGCAAGATGCAAATCCCAAATTTCAAAGGCATCTTCCATTTGGAATTGGATCTATTTTTGTCCCTGTGACTATCTTGCACAGCTCTAATTGTCCTGCCCCCTCTGAAACCCACAGTACACTCCTCTTGCCAGCCTATTTTTGGTTTATTGCTCATTGTGATCAGCCTTTTGTGTTCGTTTTGATAGGGGCCAAATTTTGATGTGAGGTGCTGAATCATGCTTAATGTGGCTCTTACTTGTGTCTCAAAGAAGTCTTCCTCCTCCTATTCCCCTGTACGTGGGCCAACATCTGGCACGGTCTCCCCTGTTTCCCAGACAGACAGGGGAAAAAGCACCTGGAACACATCAAAGCACTGAGCAGCTCAAAACAATCCATTTAATTATTATTACAAAGTGTCAGAGGGAGTTGCCAGCTTGTGGGGTGGTTTCTGTGTGTGTTTTGTCAGAAACCTGAGCACTGGGAAGAAGTTAAATGAAAGGAAAGGAGAAAGGAAAGGAAAAGAGAAAGGGGAAAAAAAGAGTGAAAGGGAATGAAAGGAAGGGGGAAAAGAAAGGAAAGAAGGGAACAGAGAAAATAAAAAGAAAGATCTTATTTTGAAACTGAGGTCTATGGACCTGGGGGTGAAATATTTAATTTCTGTACACTAAAAATACCATCATACTCGTGTGGGGATTCAATGAATTAACAAAATTAGTGGGAATTGATGACTTTTCTAAAGGAAAATTATTTATTATAGGTGCTTTTAGGGACTGATGGAGAGGGAAAAGGGCACTTGATGTAATGGGGTGTAAAATCCAAATAGTCCCATCTCTGCTGTAGGACTCAGTGTTTCCTGGAGAGCTTTCCCCATACTGCGGTATGTGCTCTAACACTACCAGCTGTCTGTGTTCTTACATAGCATGACCACAGCCAGGTTTCCTCATAATAAGGGTCCCTTGTCCAGGCAACTACCAAGGCCAGTCAGAAAAGTTTCACAGCTTTAAAGGGACCTTTTTAAGTCTCCTGCAGATGGTGTGATTTTAGGGACCACTATTTTTTCCTCTCTTTCAGTTTATCTGATCAACACTTCACATATGTGTAAGCACCATTTGATATGTTGATGTATTTTAACCAGGCAATGCAGAAAGAAGACACAATATTGGGGTAGAATCTGCAGCAATCTCCACCATAGAATCCTATGTGTGAATTCTCCTCCCTTTCTCTGAATGGCTTTTCTCATCTTGAACATGGGGATGTCGAATGCAAAATGTCTGATGTCGGTGCTGCTGCTTTGTGGTCCAGCTCCTCACACACAAATATCCCTGACCTTCATGCATAGGTGCATCGAGATGCAGGTGACCCAGGCAGGGGGCTCCAGCACTGCTCTTTACCCCACAGGCCAGGCTGCCCAGTGAATTGATGCAGAACAAGCTCCAGTGGGTTTTTGTTTGCTGTTTGTGCTGACCAGCTGCTTCACAAACTGTTGGGTTATTTTAGTTCTGTGGGATCATCATTTGGCTCCTTTGACGCTGTCACCTGGAGATGGAAATTAAAAGCCTTGAAAATCAGGTGATAACAATTCAGCATGTCCAGGAATGTGTGCGTGAGTAAGCACAGACCAGTGCGGGCTGCCCTAAGCAGGTTGTTAAGCACTCTAGAAGCGGAGTGCTTGAGAGTGAAGAGTGAGTTTATGAGAGTAGTGGAGAAATGTTCTTCTACCTTTTATAACTGGGGACCACATTCCCTCCAAGGTGGGAATTTAATCCTTCATTGTCCAGGGCTCACAGAACACTCAGTCTGTCTTCCATCACGACTGCACAAGGCCAGGTTGGACGTGGCTTGGAACAACCTGCTCTAGTGGAAGGTGTCCCTGTCCATGGCAGGGGATTGGAATTGATGATCTATAAGGTCCCTTCTAGCACAAAGCAGTCTGGGATTCTGTGATCTTCAAAGATTATTGGGCTAAAAAGAAGCTATTTGACTGCAGTCATGCAGGTCTGTGGAAGGCAAAGTTGTTATTGTGCATGTAAGAACTGAGAATTCTAGGGAGAATCCTTAAAGCTATGCTAAGGGGCAAAATCATGAAGATGCCCTCAGCTACAGTCACAGCAGCCTCTTGTCTGGCACTTGACATCATCAGAGATACCAGCACTTTGCGTTATTAGAGATCTCTCAGTAGCTTCCTCCTAGTGAGTGCTGTCTAATGATGATTTGCTGGCTGCTACCTGTGAAGGTAATTCCTGACATCTTTCCCCGTCTCCATGTTTCCTTTACATGCAGATGGAAAAGGAATGAGCAGCCTGTGCAGAAGCTGGGCTCTACACATTTCATGCTAGTGCATCCCCAGGGCCTCGGCCAGAGCTGCTCTGGGTTTCCATCAGCGTGCATGAGGAGAAGCAGGGACTGTCACAAGAGATGACAGGGGGTCAATTCCCATATTTCCGTCCGGCTTTGAAACTGCGTCTGTGACTGATCTGAATGTAGTTAACCAAGATTTAAACTGGAGAAGGAGAAGGGAGAATTGAGCACAACAAGATGAATGCTCGAATGAAAAAAGGCCACTGGCAAAGGAGACACAGTGCAAGGAGGAAAAGGCCTCTGTGATTCTATCTTTGCAGGTCCCTCAGGCAACTTAACCGTAAACAGTCTCTTCAAAAAATGTGAATATTATGCGCCTTTCTGACAGTTTTTTTTTTCCCAATTTTCATCTGCCTTTACAAGTAGCTGAAGATGATAAATATTTAATGACTTATTTCAATATTTTAATGTAGGTTTCTTGGTTAAAACACCACAAATCTCTTCTTTAAAGGGCAACAATAGGATTATATAGTAATGAGCATTGCAGCAAGTGGGAAGTTGATTGGAAAGGGGTGGGAGTGTGAGGATAAAAGAGACAAGGCTGCAGAACATGGGGCCATATCTTCATCAGGTGGAAATCATCACTGTCTTATTTCAAGTGTTCTTTTCCAGACATTACTGGGTAGGAAAGACACAATTTGCTGGTTTACTCTTCACCAGTCCTTCCTATAAAAGTAGAGCAGTTTCCCTCCGCCATGACCTGGCAGGGATGTGTTCCTTTGATCACAATCCCTATGGATGCTGCTGCAGGGCTGTAGCAGTTTAGAGGAATTCCTTAGCAAAAGGGGCTCAGTGAGGCAAACACAGTTCATGGCTCAGCTTTCAGCTCCCCAGGGATAGTTCCAGCTCTCTGTGGACACAGAAGGAAGAGCCATAAGTGACCTGTGATCCTTCTACTGCTGCAGCCTGTGGTAGTGATTCCCCACTCTCAATATATGATGGTGTGTTTGTACGTCTGTGCAACTCCATCACCTCTTTTCCATCTCACATCCCACACCAGGACACTGCTCCTGATGCTTCTTTCTTTGTACTGAAGTGCATTGGTTTTGTTCAGTCAGATGTTAAGTCCTTTGTGTGGCATTTTCACAAAGGCCAAGTTTTCACTCATCCTGGTCTATATCTGAGGCAGTCCTCTTGCACAGGAGAAGGTACAGTGCAGTGGCACCCATAGGAATAAAAGCTAAAAAAAATCACATCCTTACATCACCATGAACCTCATGCCATCCTGCATGTACTCATACACTCATAGAATAGTTATGGTTAGAAAGGACCTTAAGATCTCACATGGCGATTGCAACAAATAAGACACATCCCTGGTGCTGGGCCAAGGGAACCTCATTAAACAGCAGTCATCATGCAGTCAGGGGGTGATGCACAAAGTGTCAACCGTGTTCTTCTGAGACAGAGGTGGCTGCAGCCCAGGAAACGTGACAGTGAGTAGTCTCTGTGCAGAGACAACCTGGGAGTGGATTCTTGGACCGGTAGCTGCAGTGAATATTTTATACTGTGCTCTCCCTCCCTTCTCTCTGTGATCTCGGCAGCACTCTTTAGCCAACATAATTCTTTGTGAGTTACTTTCGTTAGCAAAACCTTTCACCTTATGAAGATGTTCTACTTAATTAGTAAAAGTTCAATTTTTTTTGTCACTGACAGAGCCCCATACATCACCATGTCTGGAGAGTCATTAGCTGTAAAATTAATCAGGGTGGATAACAGCTGAATAGAGTCAGAGCCCTTTGTGTTCCTGCCCACATCTCTGTCTCCAACGTGAGAACTTTTACAAGAAGGGGAATCCAAAAAGCATCTCCAAATATCCAGGATAGTTTCTGGAGTCAGGGTATTCCTGAGCCCAAAGTAGAGGGGGCAACGAGGCAAAGGAGGGGACAGGAAGCCAGAAGACTATCAAATTTGTCCTACCTTGGTCAGACCCAAGAATAACTCCAGCTTGAGGTTCTCCGAAAGGACGATGAGATTTACCTTTCACTCACCTCTGGAAACACAGAGAAAATCAAACAATTCATAACGCAGCCTGTTTAGTGGTGCACCAAAGCAGCCATGACATGGTGCTCTGCTTCCCAGATCTACCTCAGTGTTTCTGGCAGCCCCACTTTCCCTGCCTATGGCAGGGGGTTGGAAATAGATGGTCTTTAAGATACCTTCCAACCCAAACCAGTCTGTGATTCTGTAATAGTCTTTATTTTCTAGTAGAAGTAATAATATCAGTAAAGGAGACCTTACAGTTTGATTGGTAGCAAAGATAAATGACTCTGGATAATGCAAGTGCCTGCAAGCAAGCTGGGATCACTTATAGTTTTGCATAACTGATCACAGGACCCCATTAAAAGCAAACTCCTCATGGTAAACTTCATTTTGGTACAGAACAAGACCAGACAGTGGGGAGAAGGAAATATTTTGCCTGTGTAAAAGTATGCTTTCCCACTCTGTAATTTTCCTCCTTGGAAAACGTCTGACAAGCAACCATCCTGGGAATGACTTCCCCAGGCTGCTGTATTACCTCCAGGACTTGCCTCTGTTGATGCTCATAACATTGAATGTAGCATTCTAGAGTCTTCTTTGACTAACAAGTGGCTCAAGGCCTCTAGCTCTGTCTTCACACTCCTGTTGACAGTAGTTAAGTGAGTTACTTAACAAATGGGAAGTGATTTCTCTGCCACATCCCTTCTGGGTATGAGTCGCACCCAGCCAGAATCACAAACTCTGAGGCCTTGTACCTAAGAATGAAGCATGTATATCCTGGCAAACAGTTTTGTCCTTGGTGTCTGACTGATTTATAAAGCCTGTTTTCAGTGTGCTTGTGAAAGGACGAAGTGGGAGAAACTGGAGCCTCCTGCCTCAAAACTCAAGATGAAGCCTTGCAACAGGACATCCCTTAGGTGTAGTGCCTCTCTGCAAAGCTGCAGAGGTTTCCTTCTTGCTTTCCTGTACAAAGCAAGGGGGGTAAAACAAATTATTAGGATTCACCCAAACCCACATGGATTATGCATTGTTTCTCTTCCCCCTTTATCATTACTTTTGAAAATAGAAGGAAAAGGGAATTTCTCTTAGGCTCAATTGGAAAGTTTTATTTTCTGTTAAGCATAAGAATTCTTTTCATCTTTGGGGACCCTTGAGCTCAAGAGAGATAAAATTGAAGTAACAGAAAATACCATTTCTTTTTGAAGACCCTTTTTGTTTCTAAAATGCCAAAATGGGATATTATCTTTCATAGTTGTTCTTGTTTCCAGATTGCCTCTTTGAGGGAGTCCAGACAAATCTGTGAAAACCTTCCTGTGCCCTGGAATTACTTTTTCAGCAAACAAGAAATTGACCTCTAACATTATACCCAGCTATAGTTAGCATGATTTCTATCAGGCTTTGCCTAAGATTTTATTAACAAGGACTGAAAAGCACAGCTTCCAACCAATATGGACTTTCAGGCCATACTATGATTTGGCAATGTGTGTTGTATACAGAAGCCTAATGGGTGGGCTGTTGGCTTATTATAGTATAAATTGATATATATATTAACAATACCACATATACAGGAAGGATACCCCAATCCCCCACCAAGATCCCATCTTTAAAGTATTTACCATTTGGACCATTAGCACTTTAAATATGGTACAGATAATCACCTTTGATTTAGACAGAAGAAGGAAATTGTATTGATTCAGGATTATGGCCAGGTAAATAGGCCATCAGGCTGTTTGTTTTCTGCTTGATGTTTAGTTAATGAACTAATTTATAGACAGGATTAGTGTGAGCTGTAGAACAGGGGTCAGGAATAGAAAGCAGCACCCCGAACCAGAGGCTGGATTACAAAGAAATATAGGTACCCTAAGTGAAAGACAAGATGTAAATCAGTCCCAATTCTAGTACAGTGAGAAAAAGGAGTTCTCTCAAGAGCTTTTCTGTCTGAGCTTCTGCTGCTTTGCACTGAATTCTCGTGAGCATAAACACCCACCCTCATGCTGCCAGTTTGAGATGGGATAGGTGGAGAGAAGGTGCAAGTACAGAGCTGTGATTTGCTTCCCCTCTGTGCACATAAATTAGCCCCAAACATCCCCAGTGTGCATGTTCCACTCATCTACAACACCAGCTCTAACAGTTTTCTCCCTGGGGTGCCCTGTTGCCATTTGGCATTTGGGGTAGTCACGATGTTTCTCGCCTGCCAACCAAAATCTAGCAATTTGTTTGATATCTACTTGGGGAGCTGAGGAGAATGTTTTGAATGTCTGCATCTCAGTGGGAAAAAAAGGGAGCTTGACACATAATTATACACAAAACACAGCTAAATGATTTATGGATTCTCTGCCTTTCTCCCACCCTCTTACACTCAGTACCACTCTCAGAAAGGGGAAATTTATAAGTAGACCTTGACAGGCTAGGAGACAATGGTCTCTGGGGGCTTAAAAATCAGCCTGAGCCTCAGCAGACACATTTCCACCTCCTTTATGTGACTTTATGTAAAACCTTCATCTGCTGATCTTGGCTTTTCTTTTCCCATCTAACCCGTTCCCTGCTGAGTAAACATTATAGGACAGGGACCATCTCTTCAGTCACAGGTCCACAGTGCTAAGCACAAAGCAGCCTTGATCTCAAGAGGTAGAAAGATGCTAATATACTGCCAGTAAGGAAAGCAAAGGCTCACCATCCCCCTCTTTTTGTGTGAAGCTGAGAGGAGTAAGTTGGTTTCCTTAAGAGGCTTGAAAAACAAATCACTTCAGTGTTTGCTAAGAGCTGAGCTCACACACTACAAAATAGGCAGGTGAGTATGAGAACCTGATCAGCTAATGAAGATCCAATGTAGGAAGCAAAAGAGGTGCTAGTGAAACTTTCCCAGGAAAGCTAGACTAACTCAACCAGTTATCAAGCTATTAAGCAAAGAAACATCAGCAAAGGATGATTTCTTGAGGAAAAGTTCCCCTTTCCTCCAACTCACAGCCCGGCATCATGCAGATATCATAGAGAGGGAAATCAGGCTTTTCCAAGTGTTTTCCAGCTTCATTACAACATCTGCCTCAGGCACAGAGTACCCAGACAATTTGATCCAATTTGTTATCAAAACGCACCAAACTCTTTAGTTTCCCAAGTTCCAGGGTGAAAAATCTTTAAGTGCAATACTAGAGCAAGAATGGCTCCAAGGCACCCAGGTTAGGATGAATGTGCTTTAAAAGCATCTGTTAACTTCATATCTTTTTTTCAGCCATAAAAATTACTTCACACACTGTCTGCAATCCCCATTTATAGGGCTTCAGTACTTGGGTGGATGGAAAGAAGGAAGCCTGGAGCATGTAGAAGGGAAGCTAATGCACATTTTGCAGTAATCAGTTAATTTGATGGTCTTTTCAGACTCTTTCCTACAGGGTGATGCCTATGCAAGTCTGGCCGTCTGGTTTTCAAAGCATCACCCATCCCCTGCTTCCTCACAAAGCATAGACCAGGGCTCCAATCTGTTATTCCATGATTCTATGGCTCCTGAGAGGATTTGCTTCTGGTGCATTGGCCACAGAAGGCTTATCAAATGCACACTTGCCTGATGGGCTGCCTCCCTCTAGCTTTCCAGCTGGCTCTGCTTGCTTTGTAGTGGCTGAGGACTCCCAGGAATGAGGGGAAACCCAGCAGCTCTGCACTTTAGCTGGGAACAAGCAGGCATGGAGGGGAGCTGGGATGTCCTGGTGAGGTGGAGCTGTAACCCTTAAGGGATGAATGTGGCACATTCAGCCTGCAGGGATATGGGAAGAAGCAAAACAACCCCAGTGGCTAGTAGGAGGTCTGTCACAGCTCATTGCAGACTAGATGGCTTTTGAAGGTCCCTTCTAACCCAAACTCTTCCATGATTCTATGACCCCCAGCTCTCTCAGAAGGCCTGTTCTTCAACAAGCAAGCATTTTACTGCCTATCACCCACCAAGGCTCAATGAGGAGTCATTCCTTCCTCTTCCAAATATTTTAGTGTCATCTGTTCCCGGTTCCCACCCTACAAAAAAACACCCCAAACAGCTTAAGGACTCTTTTCATCTTTCTTTACTATTGTCATTATTTTTCCCATTCCCCCTTGTCATGCAAAACCAAAACTAAAAAAGTAAACCCCATCTTAATTATACCCAAGCATATGAGCAGCACAAAGGAGCCATTGACATAATCAGCAAAAAGTACTAATACCAGCAGTCTTTCCTACGGCCCTTTGTGCTGTGTGATGTTGGAACAGCTGCTGTGGAGCAGTGCTAGGGAGTGGAGCTGCTTCTCCAAGCTATGTCTTCTTCCATATCCAACTGTCCTCTGCACCCCTTGGCCACCCCATCATGACCTTCCAGTGCATCCCAGGGTGGCCTCAGCTTCCAAGGCCTCATCCTCTTCCTGCTTCTCCATGTGCTGCCTCTGCACCCTCGCCCACTGCAGATGCAGGATGCTTGGGGTGGAACGGGCATCTCTTGCCAGTTGGCTGGTGGAGGGAGAGGGCTGGATGCGGAGGGGGTTGAACTGTTGCCATTGGAGATGGCAACAGATGCTTCCTGATGGAGGCTGCGCTGGCTAATTCAGGGCTTTGTGGTTTGAGACAGAATCCCAATTATTTCCAATTAGGAGATTGTAGTGACAGCTGCTCTGAACAGGGCCTCCTCTCACAGCTGAGAAACCTCCACTTTCAGCTGCATTCAGATACCTGCATTGCTAGCATGAGGCATTCAGCCTTTTGGGGTTTATAACCTCTTTTTCTTCCACTTCTTACTATACAATTCTTCTTCTCTCCCCCACACCACTTCTCTTGAGGAATTTGGCAAAAAAAATCATCCTTACGTCTCCCTTACCAAAATCCATTCCTTTTCTCCTTGCTGTATGCAGGATTTAATTGTCCTGTTGTTCTGTCCAGCTCCCCCTCTTCCCAGTTCTCCCATTATTCCTGCCTGCCGTGTAATGTATGGGCTCTGTTAGGCAGTTTTGGCCTGACCCAGCCAGCCAAAATCAGAGGAAAAACTGATTTTATTTTGCCTGGGGAGAATACATCACAGAAAGTGTCTCATTTAGGGAAATTAAGGATGAAGGAAAAGGGAGAGCTAGAAATTTATTCTGGTTTACTGTTAAAAATATATCTATCTACTGCTGTGTGTAGGGCTGATATTTTCCCTTCACTTCCCTCTTTTTTGTTTCCTGTCCAACAGTATCACACAGTCCAGAGACACAATTCAGGAGAAAGGGGCATAGGGGCCTTTGCTGGCTTGAAAATGCTGTCTGCTGTTGAGGAGTGAACAGGACAAGTCGTTGAACAACAAGACACGTTTTGATCTGTTCTCATAGCTGCTCATCAGAGGCAAATCTAATCCTCAAAATGCAAACTAAGACAAATCCTTTGGAAGGAGAAAGGGGAGTTTGCGGGTGCTGGCTTTATTTATGATTCAGCTAAACCCTTGTTTGTTTGGATACTGAGTCTGTTGAATCAAAGCAGGGCTGAGCAAACCCTGAAGTGCTTAGTGCTGAGACTTGGAGAGTCTCTCCCAGAGGTTCAGAGCCTCCCTAAGCAAAGGAACAGGGATCTTTCCTGATCTCCCTCTTCTATCCCCTTGCCCAAGATACAACGGGAAGTTCATGATTTCCTTGAGGGGTATTTCCAGAAGGTGCTCCCTCTTACAGGAGAAGGTACCATTTAGCCAGACCAAATCCCCCTCAGGTTTGCAGTGTGAGCAGCAAGCAGCTGTAGGGCAGCTGTAGGGCAATTTGCAATCAGAATTGCTTTCTCTGCTGTAGCAAACCTACAACTGGATGGAGCCCAGGACCTCTTTCGAGGAACTGTTGTTCTCTAAGTGTGCTTGCACCCCAGGGGGGCAGCATGGGGATGCTGGGGATGCTACCTATGCTGGGAAGATGATACCAAAGGGAAGCCAGGTCTTACATTAATACAGGTGATGGAAGCAGCCATTCTGGGTTGGACATGAGCCTCTGTTGTACTGAGACAACTTCAAAACCAATGGTGGCATCAAATCCACCGACATCAACATGACTTATGACAGCAGGTTTTGGCCTGTAGTGTTTTTCTTGATCCTCACACAGCCATGGTCTTCATCATGGTTTCCATTTCACATAGGATCCAAGAGGCAAGTTTTTAGTCCTGGAGATTTTTCACTGTGTTACAAAGCACTGAAACTTGGCATTTGGATGACAGTGTTGTCTATTAATCCATGTGGAGCACTTAGATGCTACAGAAGATAAGTGCCTTGTAAATACAGATAAATAGATTAGATTAGACCTTGACAGTGGTTCATACAAAAGGCATTTCTATGTGCAAAAATAATAACACTGCAGAAAAATAGCTATTATTTGAAACCTTGGGATAGAGCTCCCATAATTGATATTGTTGGATGAAGCTAATGGAGAAGAGCTGCTGTGACTGCCCTTTTGTCACTGACTAATTCTTCCAGCAACCAAAACCACATTATCCAGCTCCCATTTAGGCCTCAAAGTGAGTGGCCACATTTTTCTAAGGAGCACAGTTCAGTGAGTACCGAATCCTTTCAAAACTCCTCTTGTTGAGTACTGTAATGGTGGGGACAAAGGGAGGAGAGTGCTTTCCTGTCTTTTACATCCTGACTGCTTGAAAATCTGGATCACAGCATGGCTCAGCGAGCAGCCCAGAGAACCAGTGGAGGATGTGGACTTAGACATGTCCCCAGTGGAGGTATCCTCCTCAGCAATGGGAGACAGTGGGGGAGAAGGATGTGGGAGGCCTGTTCTTATCAGCTCAACCACGCCTGACCACAAGTTAAATTTAACTAACTGGTACCTATTCCAGCCCATTCAGGTACAAGTTCCCAGCACGTGTGAGGTTTCTCCAACAATGTAGATTCCTGTCTTTCTAATCTCTGGTCTAGTGCAAATGGAGCAGCCCCTGGATCTTCATTTATCCACACAAAAAGAAAAGATAGAAAAGCAGAAAATAAACATCTGAGTGATCTAAGAAATCCTGAGATAAACAGCAGTTTTGTTCCTCAAATGAGTTAAAATTAAACAACAGCATTATTCCCTCAGCACCACTTGTTCCCGTTGCATTAGGTACAAACCCCAAGTGTTTAAAAGCCAGGAGATAAATAATTAAGAACATCATACATCTTTTATTGCCTTCACAAAACATACAAAGGGTGAAATCCTGACCAGTCTGAGCACAGTGACAAAGTTCTTCTTGACTTTAGATGAATTTGGATTCTAAGCAAGTTATTTTGTCAAATACAATGAAATGTGTCAGAAAACATCTCAACAACCTTAATTCTGACTTCTCTATGACCACTTCTAGAATTTAAACAGAAAACAAATCCTTTTCAAACAATGTGAAACACCTCCAAAATAAATGTTGATTTGAAGACAATATTAGGACTTTTTTCTTTCACCTAGAAAACTGGGCACACATTACAAATGCAGTATAAGCTGTTAGTAACAGGACTTGGAAATAGCTCAAGTAACTAATTATATTTACCTCTTGGGACTATTCCTTCAAAGAAAATGTTTGTTCACCAAATTCAATGAAATAGAAAATATCACCTAAAAGAGGGGAAACGAAAAAGAAAACAATCCACAAGTTAAGCAGGAGGTTGTTTTGCCTAAAGAAGAAGTGCACTTCTTTTCACTCAGCTTAAAAATACAGATTTAGCATGTGGACAGTATAGGGTTTCAGGAGTCCTTAATCATTCATTTCCTTGTTTTTAAGTGTGAGGGTTTTGCAAATGATGTGATAAGTAAGTACATTGTTGTCACTTAGCAACCTTAACTCGTTTCTGAAGTGAGTTGTTTGTTTCTATAATAAATGAGACACTCAGATACCATGGTGATGAGCACAGGAGACCTTGTGTGGTTAGGCAGAGTGCTCTCTTGATAAATATGATATTGCTCAGAGGTACAAGGCCCTCACAACTGAGGAGTAGCTCTTCGCTCTTGTCCGCAGCATAGAAACATGGTCACTGGCTGTGTTTGTGCTGCCCTACGAGGAGCACATGGGAGTTGTTCTGAGGATAAGACTCACTGCCTTTTCAGGCAGAAAAAATGGAGTTTTAGCTGGAGATCACCTTAATAATATCCAAGGCCTACTTGTCCCAGTATGTCCTTGATGGGTTTGTAGCCAGCTCCCAAATGCTTTGTTGCTATCACCAGCCTTCAGTGTGAAACTTGATCCAGCTTCACACCCCAAAACCACTGTCTTTTCATCTCCAGGCAGTCCTGCTAGAGCTGCACTGTGCCTTCTCTTGTCCCTTAATTACTCCTTTATTCACTACTTCTGATGTGACACAGCTATAAAGCCAGCTTAACCAGGTGGCAGAAGATTGCTGGCCTCTGGGAAGCCTGCTGTGATAAAGAACCTTCAGTATGGTTCCTGCAGACGGGAACTGATGCCAAACCTTGAGGGCTGTATCTGGGGAAAAGAAGTGAAAAGACAAATAGTATTGCCGAGATAGAACTCCCTCAAGTCTAAGCTTCTGGTCTGTGGGAGTAGATTAAAGCACAAGGGTTGATCACAAATGTAAAAGTAGATTTTAGACGTCTCTGTTCCTTGTTGAAACTGCATTTACTGTACAGGACTTCAGTAAATCCCTGGACATAGTTGATCCTGCTTGAGCTATACCTGATTCTTCCAATGTCTCTCTTTCCTCTCTCCTTTTTTGCGTTTCCTGACTTTACACACAATATATTTGTATTGCTGTTGCTGCTGCTTGAGTTCAAATTAATCTTTTAAGGAAGGATGAGCCACATGTAATTTCTTTTGGTTTTAGACATCACATCCATATTCATAATCCACTAATCATGTTTGATGAATCAGAATTCATTGTGAAACATACTAACCCTTTGTGTTGCTTCAGTGTTTAATCTTGTAGGAGAAGCAATCATCTATGCAACGCATTTGAAGGGGTTGGGCTGGGCTGTCTTGGGTGTCTCGTTGAGTCAGCTTCCTTGTTTGTACAATTCAGCTTGTGCTGCCGAGTCTAAGCTATCATCTAAAAACATAATTAACTCTTCAGCACTTCAGTAACAAGAGGAATCTTCACAGTGTGAATCAAACACCACCTTCTCAGTGATGCTGGCCTGAGTCTGCAACTTGTCTGGAAGGGCAGCTCTAAGCTTTCCCCTCATTCCAGCAGGGCAACCACACTGAAACCTCAAGATCTTATTCTAGCAAGTCAGCAATGGTAAGTATTTTACCTGCAGTCAAAGAATAAACAGGGAGATGACTCTTTATAGAGATCAGTAGTGTCTATTGTTAGGCAGTGTTTTGTTTAACCTGGGTACAGTTTGTGGCTGATCATAGAATCCTAGAATGGTTTGGGTTGGAAGGGACCTTAAAATTCATCCAATTCCAGCACTCTGCCACACACACCTTCCACTAGACCAGGTTGCTCCCAGTCCCATCCAGTCTGGCCTTGAACACTGCCAGGGATGGGGCATAAGAGTAAAAAGTTGGGTTTTTTTCCCCTTCCTCATTTGCATATGAGTGCACATGCTTGGTTGCTTTTTAACTATTTGCAGGATGGGATATTCGGCAGCACCTAAAAGAATGCAAGTTTAGTTATGTCACTTTTTTTTTTCTACATCAGGATTCCATGAATCCTGACTTTTCCCTTCACATGAGTTGAGATCCTACAGTCTATTCTGCTTCTCTTGCTGCCTATTCCGAGGTTACCTCTTCTTCCCCATCACCATGTGGCAACGTGACTGAGACTGGAGACAAGAAGCTTGCAATGGGGGAAGGACAGTGACAAAGTGAAGAACTGTGGACCACAGAGCACCTCCTGGGGATAGTGCAAAGACGGCTAGCTCCAGTCCATACACTGGAGAGTTGCTCTGCTTTTCCCACAGCCCCAAGATTCGGGCATCCATGATTTCCCAAAGAAATATAGCTGTTATTTGCTGAAGCAGATTCTGAGCCTGCCACACTTAATAATTCAGTGGTGAACTTTAAAGCTGAGCACAGGTTGAAAAATAACTTGCTTTAGTAAGTACAAAATCTCCATTTCTGCTGCCTTTTCTTCTCCCTCCTCCTCTCACCCATGGCCCCGGCAGCCCCCTGCAATCCAAACACTCACCATTATTATGCGGTGGAGCGAAGAGGAAAGACGGGAGGGGGGGAACTTCATTTCCTCTCTGTGGGATGTTTATTGTTTCTTCTGCTCTCAGCGGTCCCAAGGTCTCTGTCGTTTTACGTGGTGCTTTATAATGGGAATTGGTTCTCATAGGCACCGGTGAGTTTATCTGCAGAGACACACGGAGCCTGGAGATCTGAATTTATACCTCCCTGACGCCGCTGTAATTGGGACTCCCAGGAGAGGAAACCCTGGCAAGTGACACAAATAAACCCTGCCAGACCCTTTTTGAGACCTGGAGCAGCAGTAACCCCAGGAGGATTCCCATGATCAAATTACCCTTAAACAAATACTTGGGCAGTAAGTAAGGCTGTAACTGCTGAAGGTCAACAAGGTGTTTGTAGAACATGTTTACCAGGTTTATTTCACATCACTTGCTCCCATTCAAAGACTGTGAGTTGCAACAGTGGCAAAATGGAACTGGAAGAACGCTGCAAACCTAATTAAAACTCATGACTCCAAATGGCTACGAATACATTTATTTAGGCCTTTGGTACCTCTGTAGCTATTCAGGCATAATTAAACCAGCACTGTTTCCCTGAATATAAATAAATAATAGAAAGCACACACATTGTCTCTCCTGTGAACTGAAATTTGGCAATGTCTGTGACATTTGTTTGGGGACTTGATGACAACATAGTAAAGCTGTCTGCATCTCAGTGGAAAACAGGAGGTTAAGGAAGACTGATAGACAGGCAGACAGATACGGATGTACAGATAGATCCAGACATATACAAATTATTTAGTTTGCTGCCTTTCTCCCACCCTTTTGCAGTCAGTACCCTTTTTATGCTGGGAGAACTGCACTGCATTGCTGCAATCAAATCTCGACAGCCAAAGCAACAGTGATCTTTAAATTCAGCCTGTGCCTCAGGTAATATTATTTGCTGTTCCCCTCGTGATGCCAACCTGTGTGGCTCTGGGTCAGCCCCTTAACTGCTTGCTCCTGGTTCTTTTATTTCTTTTTCTTTATCAGATTGCAAGCTTTCTAGGGAAATGACCGGTTGTATAAATGCGTGTTATTTCCATGTAGGAGGAAAAATAATTAATACTCATGTAGGTGTCGTTTAAACAGCTGGGAGGGAATGCATTTCAGGTGCTGCACTGCTTTAACTGCTGGTTAAAAGGGGAAAAGGCCCCATAAGTGACTCACAAAGTGTACTGGTGTGAAAATTCTGTACTGACTTTGTACAAAACACAAACACCTCCTTATTATAAAAATGGCAAGACAGAAATTACAGATGTAGTTAACAAATCACGGGATGAAATGCTCAGACCGGATCATAATGGAAGTTCAAACTTGAGGACCATAAGAGTTCATATTCTGGATTTCCTACCAGAGGCTGCTGGGTTTGAAACAGACTTATTTGTTGGTTATCACAGAGCTTTGTTTTGAGCCTAATGGGTGATAGGTGCTGTATGGAGGCTTGATGAGACCCAGGAACTTCAGCAAGATTTTCTTAGCACTGTGTCAAGGGGTTCCTTCAACCCTTACTCATTGGTTATCACTTAGTCATTAATTAAATCTTACATTACTGGATCTATCCCTGTTGACAGCTCACCTCTTGGGGTTTTGCTGCAATACAGACATGCCCTGGTCATGTTCTGACCATATTCTTGTTAGTGAGTTTAGCTCTTCCATGCAGCTGGAGGAACAACTTGTGCCAAGAGGTTGGCAATCCCAGGAGCAGAGCACAGCCAGCAAATGTCCCATTCAGGACTCAGCTGCTGAATATGAACTCCTATGAATACAGACTAAGAATATGAACTCCTGTTGTCTATATTCTAGTAAAGAGGAAGCCCAGAGATCTTTTCTTGAATGCTGGCCTTACAACCCAGAGGATGTGAGTGAAATCCAGCCCTGGTGCAGACCATGTGCATCAGTTCAAGGAGATGCCCAAAGGCACATTTTGAGCAAAGCCCCAATAGCTGCAGCCATAGTACCATGCAATACACAGTCTGCCCAGTAGCTCACCAGCACTTCCCAACAGGCCCAAGTTTTCCCCATACCCCAGTTATTCAATGCACCAGAGCGTTCTGTGCGGGTGATAAAAACTGCAACCACAGAACAGGCCTTTTGTGTGTTTCACTCATCTCACAATCACCAGAAGATGATTTAATTGCACGAGAAAATGTTCTCTTTAATCTCTTAGAATTAGTCATCTCTTCCTCAGTCATCTCTCTATATTTTTGGTTAGAGAGACTGAAAATCTTAATATATCAGTGACATTTATAGCACATGTTAATATTATAAAACGTCAGCGCTCTATTTGCAGAAATGAATACTGATGTGATGGGAGTGTTTTATTATGTCAATGACTTTTATTATAAATATGATAAAACTGTGTCATCTTCCTTTTTTTTTCCCCAAATAAAAAATAAACCCACCTAATCATTTATTTCAAGGTTACTGCTCAGCTACCTGGTTAATTTATTCAATTGTGCTGCTAGGAAAAAGTACACCCTGCAATGGATTTTCACATTGTGTGGTCATTTGATGGATGTTATCATTTACCTGCATGTTTGTTTAGGATTAGAGCGTGACAATGAATACTGACACAGTGGTTTCCTATGGACACAAAGCCAGGAGGTGAAACCTAGCTTAAGTGAATAATTAATCATTACCAGGGACTGAAAGATAGTTTGATATTATGGATCTCCATTGCTCTCTTCAGCATGGCTATTGAAGCTGCCATGCCTCAATCCTATTAGCTCTGTTTGTAGATGATGCTCCCCTGGCCCTCAGGTTCATTGCCAGACCCGTGGAGATGTAAAGGCTCTGGATGGTACCTTGAATGAACCCATTGTGCTATGATACCATCCTACTAATTAATCTTTATTACTACAGCTAGTATTTGCAGTTGTGAGTAACAAGCTGAACGGATCACAGTAGGTAGCTGCACTTCCAACCCCAATAACAAGGTGGCAGCTTCACAAAAGAAATCATTGGCTCATGTTAAGGATAATGATATTTTATGCAAGAATATTGGTAAATAATGAGTGTTTGTATGAATTTCTGCTCTCTCTCTGTTGAGATTTCCTTACTCAGTTTTTAAAATCGCAGTGCCAGAAGAATCATCTTTACAAGAAAACAAACATTAACATATTTAAAAGACAGAATGAGAAACCTTGATTTGATTCATGCAAAGTAGCATGATTCCAAAGACTGGGATTTTTCAGAATACCAAGAAACATCATGAACGTGCCTCCAAAGTTGAAAGCAGCCACCACAATGAATCAGCACATTCTTGGTCCTTGAGTAAACACACAGCAAGATGAGGGATCTATTCCTCTGGGGAGAAAGCACAGGGAAGACAGAGATTGCAGTGTTAAGATCCTGCTGTTGCTATGGATAGTTGTGTGAAAGACTTGAGGATTTTAGGGGTTTTATTTTAACTTTTAACTTCTTTTTTCTCCTCCCCTTCCCCTTCTGTCTCTATGCTATCATCACTGCAAAGGGAAACCCAGGATTCCAGTCCTCATAAGGAAGACATCTGTTTTGTCTATCACCTCGGAGGAGGTCAGGAATGGGCTGTGGAGGATGACTGTCATACAGTAGGTAAGGGTGAAATTTAATAAGTGGGTGTATTTAATGGTAGGAATTTGTCTATAGAGAGACACCCAGACTGTGATTCCAGGAGACCTCTGCAACACTGCTGAGACCCAGCAGAGTCATTGCATGCATGAGAAGAGCTGTGAGAGGGGTCTGCAGGGAGCATAAAGGGGCTGTTGAGAATGAATGAAGAACCAAGGAGCCAGAGTGACAGGAGTCTTTTCAGATGCCACTGAACCAGAGCAGAACAGGGCAGGGAAACTCCCTCAGCTGCTACTTGAATGAGAAATATCTCCATGCTGACTCCGCTCGAGTGCGCAGTGATTTGATGCTTTGGGGGAAGAGAAATAACTTTCTGCTGGTCTCCGATTCAGAGATCACCTGAAGGGGAAGATGTGAAGTGACCATCCCTGGGGCACAGTTGATGGTATGCAGTGGGTTGAACCTTGACTCTGCCAGGACCATCCCCCCTCTATGCAGGAGAAGCATTGCTGAAGTGCTGCCTGGGTTATTAGGCTGTCTCAGCAGTGCGTTTATGATGGTTCCCCAAGGCGTCCAGTCTGAAGTAGCATAGACACATAGGCATAGAAGGCTTCCCCCTCCCAGAAGTGAGCTACAACAGCACTTTAGCTGGAGACAGAGCAGCTCTTTAAAGGAAAATGCTGCAGCTTCTCTTTTAAATGTTCCACTGGGCTCTTGAGGTTTGCAGTCCTCCACAAGGCTCTGAATGCTAAAGGATGCAGTAATGAGCCCTACTAATTCACAGCACTGCCCAGCTGTACAAGCAGTGAGTGCAAAGGCTGCAAAGCAGGATGTGGAAATCAGCTCATTTCATAGTTTTCTTTACTCTCTTTCTCTGTTCTTAAGCCTTCAAAGGGGAGAGGAGATACATACCTTCATATGTACATAAAATGAGGCTTATTCAGATGATTTCCTAATTAGACCTACAGGAAAGCCTGATCTCCTTCTATATATACTGCTCTCAAACAAGCTGCTCCTGGTATCATATTATTATGAATGAACCACTCTCACTATAGACCTTCACTGGGGTCTTGTAATTGGAATTTAGCATATTTATAAAGCAAGGTCTATAGAAACACCTTTCTGTACAGCATCCTGTTACACTCAGAAGTTTAAAGACCCATAGGAGATAAGACTAGAGTAAGGTCTCTCGAGGCATAGGTAGGTTTTTAAGTCCCCAGAGACCACTGTCACTTGGGTTCTTCAGATGTGGTTGCAGATGTGCTGCTGTTCTTGGACCCTGGCAAAAAAAAATGACATTAATGCAAAAGGGTGGGAGAAAGGAAGAGAATCTATAATTAATGTTTATGTATCTGTATCTTATCAATAAGTCTATCTGTATCTATCTTCCTACCTATCAGTGCATTTCCTTGCAACCCTTCTCTTGACACATATCTGCCATCTGCCCTTTAGCAGCACTGGAGCACTAACCTTCCTCCTTGTTCAGCCAGTCCTGATGCACAATGTTGGGTGAATGCCAGTTGTGTCCTGACCTGGGCTGGGTTTTGTTTGCATTTCTCCATCAAGGGAGCTTTTATAACCTCCACTTCTAATCTCATGCTTCAGGAGCTGGCTATTGGGAGGGAGATCGCGTGAGGAAAGAAACTCCCTTATGTATGTGCTGGGATTTCAAAACACAGCATGGATGGTGCACTAGAGAACAAAGCTGACTGGAGGTCACCCAGGAGATGCCTTTAGTGAGTTTGAGAGAGAAAAGCATGGCGTGATGGTGCATATAATACCAGCAAACCAGTGGACCCTGAAGCAGAAGAGTGTCTTCGAGCTGGTGATAACTCTGAAATATAGGAAAGACTGAGACTGAATGGCTAAAAGGGGGAAAGGTACAGCAAAGGGCAGCTCATGGAGGGAGAAGCATGGGCTAAAGGTGAAGGGAAGATGACAATAAGGAATAAACCATTGTAATGACAGAAAATACAATTAGGGGATTCAGTGGAGAATCAGAGGAAATGTCTGAAGGGCCTTAATACAAAGGTGAAACTGCCAAATCCATGATGTTGCTGATAAACATGAATAGCAAAGGGAAGGAATGAGGCACCTCAGGGACTGAGAGAAGGACTGGAATTGAGGATTTTTAAGAAAGAAAAGCTGCACAGAGATGCTAGAGAAAACCAGAAGCATAGCCCTAAGGGAAAGGATAAAGAATAAAGCAGAGAGATTGATTTATGGAGAGAGGAGGGCCTGGGAAAGGAGGACAGCCAAGGGGAAACACTGGCAAGAAGAATTCATTTGAGGGAGAGCTAATGCCATGGACAGGGACTGCCTGCCAGATCTTGGCACTCTTTTCATTTGAGTTTGTCACTTTGCTGTAATTTCACCTCCATCTACCCTTTCTGCACCCACCTTGCTGAGTTTCTTAAGGATGACTCATTAAAAGGAAAAAAAAAGTAAAAGAAAGGCAATAGCCACCTATTTCTTATTTACTATAAAAGGGCAAGCTGTGTTTTCTCTTTGGGATAGAAAATGCCTTTCAGACCTCAGCTGGCATTGGATCTGTTTGCTCTTTCTCAGGACACTTGCTCTCCCTGCTCCTGTTTTTCACAGTTGCTCCTAAGAGGAGGGCAAAGCCAAAACTGGCCAGGCTGGAGGTGAACTTTCAAACCCTCAATAATGGAGCAGGTTCAGAAGGAAACAAACAGAGGATGCTCAGGCATAATGTAGGAAATGGCTGGAGACAGATGGGCATTTGGAGCTGAAACAAGAACAGAAGACCAGGAACAGGCAGCAGGAGGATATTCTGCTAGTTCCAAGAAGCCACCAGTGCTCTTTGGGGGATAAAGAGGGGTGCTAACAACATCCCCATGTGTGGGATGGAGCCCAGGTAGCAGTGGCCTTTCCCTTCATGGAGATGTGACCTCGGCACTGTGGTGACAGTGGGTGGCAATTAATGATGACAGCTTTATAAGCATATCTGTAACACTGAGGCTTAGCTCCTGAACAGCTCCAAATGGGACTTTTAAATGCTATTAAACCAGCTGTGCAGTATTTTCTGTTCCATAAGAACAGCAGTGGCAGGCTCTGTGCCAGTTTTCATTGTGCAGATGGATGTACGTGTGGACTCGCATGTGTATGCATAAAACCTGGAAGGGTTGCAGTGTACTTAAAGCCTTCCCTCCTTTCCCAGGCTACTTTCTGATCTCAGGTCTGATCAGAGGAGGAAGGGAGCTGGAAACACAATGTCCTTGGAAAAAAGGAGCATATCTCCTGCTTGTCCATAGAGATGGGGACACTGAGGCAGAAGAATACAGATGTTTCACTGCTTCCCTACTCCTGGAAGAACATTTTTTTCCTGAGCTCACACTCTCAGCACTCATGGATGATATTTTCCTCTGGAATAAAGAGTTTCTGATTACTCCAACTAGAGGCCAATAGATAAGCAGGGCCTTACGTCAGGTTGTAGTGAGAGAAACCAGTCATAAATGAGTGGGTATGAAGAAAGGTTTATCAAGAAAGCAGCTACAAGAAGCATGAGGATGTTAAATTTTGACACTAGAGTACATCACTTTGAAATGGAAAATAAGAGTAAAATATCCTCATGTTTCACCTGGACAAATTCAATTTGAGAAAGGATATGTCTGGAGAAATCCAAGGAATGTGATTTGCCTCCCGGGAGGTGTTTCACAAGCCAAGAATCTCTGCTATCCCATCCACCTACCTGCATCCCACATTCAGTTTTGGGAGTCACCCATCACTTTTCCAAGCTAAAACACACTCTCTTCTGGCAGAAGACTCACTCCTCCATCTTATCCTTGTCTTGCCTCTGCCTGTCTTGTAGCACGAGTCCCTGCAGAGCAGCCAGGCCGCCAGTATCTCTTTCACTTTGGGTTTGCACAGCCTTTTCCTTGGGATCCAGGGGACTTGTTTGTATTAACGTAATTGGCAAACACATTGTTCAAATATTAGCAGTGGCAGCAAAACCATTGTGTGGGGCTAGTCAAGGCAAGCGGTCCCTTCACTCGCAACAGTTAAAACCTGGGCGCTGCTGCCAGGCATGTTAGGCATTGAATATGATCCAGAAAAGCTATCCAGCTCTGAAGATGGCTCAGTCTTAGTCAGTATTAATTTGACTGGGGATAAAGCTACATATAAAGGCCTCTTTCTGCAACCAAAAGCAAGTGATGAAACATTCGGCCTCATGTTCGGTTGCATCCTGTGCAGGGAGTGAATGAAGTGGTCCCGGTGCAGAAGCAGGATTAAAGGAGTTGTGCACAAGGAGCTTTCCTATGTCTGCACACCAGGTCCATTGCATCCCTCTCTGCACAAATTCCTGCCTCATTGTCCCAGGAAGAGGTGAATCAGGAGGGTTGCATAAGGCTGGAGAAAGGTTTGAATCAGCAGCATTAACAACCAGAGGAAAATGTCCTGATGGCTTTGCCACTGCCCTGTGATTATATAAAATATGAGTAAGAAGGTTTTCCAGATACTTTGTTAAATAGGACTTCATGGGAAATGTTTATAGCAATAAGTCAAATTCCACAACCCTACTGAAATCAATGGCATTTTATGCCAGGTATGAACTGGGTCAATATTTTTATGATGATGCCCTCATTGATATACTGTTTGCCTAAAAAAAGGAATGAAAGCTGTCATAAAGCTCAGTTTTTATGTTCAAACGTATGGACATGTGAATAATGCAGTTCCTATATGGCAATAAAAAGGATGGGAGGAAGATCTTTTACATTCTTTATTGATGATTTTAATGTAACAGACAATACCAAGTCAGTGGCATGATAAAGGGGCTAGGGTTGCCAAGTGCAAGACTCTGATTCGAGCCAGCCCAATGTGGTTAATGAAAGTGAGAATTTGGGTCATTAAGTTATTCATCTCCCTTCTGAGGCTGTGAAAAAGAAGTACCAAGAGGACCACATTGATCTCCAGATTACTTTCATGTAAAACTGAGTGCCCATAAGAAGAAGCTGAAGAAAGCATCTATGATAGTGAGGATTAATAGGAATGTACTTACATCTCACTGCAGTGTATACAAAAACTCCGTCCATCTCCTCCTTCACCCCACTCTCCAATGGTACCAAATTTCTTTGTTTCTTCAGGCAATACCCAGTTCTTGGAGACCTGTATTAAGGAAAAAGATTGGTTTTGTATAAGAAAACGTGTAGTGCTTTTTTAATGTACATACAATTGGAACAAAACCAACCCACAACTCCCCCCCCACCATCATCCCAGCATATCCTTAAGATTTAAAACAGAGAAGCCACATCAACAAGAATTCAAAACGTGATTGTAAAAACCTCATGCATTTTTTGCAGCTATTCTCACGCTGTTTGAACATGAAAAGTTGGGCACTCTCTGGATACAGTCACCGTATCTCCTGCTATAGCTCTGTTGGAGTTGAGATGAGCTACATAAGCAGGCAATTTGGCCCTTCACTTTCTTCATGATCAGCAATTTAAAACGTAATCACTGGAGGCAGTGGGTGTTTGAACACAGTTATCTCTGTTTATGCTGACCCTTTTCCTTACTGCTCCACCCTGCATGTGCTGTTTAAAGCCTTGGCAATAATACAGCCTGGAGATGGAATGGCTCTCCACTGTGTCAAAACTACCCAGACCACACTTCTGCTCAGCTAGGCTGAGGTTGGACTACAACAGTAATAACCCCCTCCCAGCTTGTCCTCTCACTTCCACAAACACCTGCCATATGAAAGAAATCCATCCAAATCCATCCACCTCAGATATATCCCTCTGCTCTGCTCTCATGAGACCCTGCTTGGAGTACTGTGTGCAGTTCTGGTGTTCTCAACATAAGAAGGACATGGAGCAGAGGAGGCCATGAGGATGATCAGGAGATGGAGCATTCCCTGTACAAAGACAGGCTGAGAAAATTGAGGCTGTTCAGACTGAAGCAGAAAATCAGTGTGGAAACCTCATAGCAGCCTTCCAGTATCTGAAGGGGGCTACAAGGATGCCAGAGAGGGACTTTTCATTAGCGACTGTAGTAATAGGACAAAGGGTGATGGGTTCAAGCTGAAACAGGGGAAATTCAGGTTAGATCTAAAGAAGTTCTTCCCTTTGAGGTTGGTGAGGCACTGGAACAGGTTCCCCGAAGTGGTAAGTTCTCCACCCCGGCAGTGTTCAAAGCCAGATTGGACAGGGCCTTGGGTGACATAGTGTGAGGCATCCCTGCCCATGGAAGGGGTTCAACTGGATGATCTTAAGGTCCTTTCCAGCCCAAACCATTCTGTGATTCTGTGTCACAGCAATGCCATGTCCTCCCTTCTTCTGTGGGTAAATTGAGGTATGGAAGGACACCTCTACATTAAAAAAGAAATATCTATAATAATAGATATTTCATCCCCAAATGATATAACCTACTCATTGGAGTAATTTTCTTCTTACATCCAATCTTACACTTTAACTGAAAGTCTGTTGAAATAAGAAGAGAGTGAAACCTGTGGTTTCAGCAAAGTGTTTCTGTTAGAACTGGAAAACCCTGGAGCTTTGGGTACATTATTGTGTTCATTTCAAATCTGTGAAAATTAATGGGGGAAAATAAGGAAATGAAAATCATTAAAGGAGAGTTTTTCTTTTCATATATAGAAACTCAAAGAGCTTGATGAACTGAGTCCTTTTTTCTACACAACTGTTCTGTTAATGAAGCATTCTGTTGCTTATTTACCTTTACAAATACCCAAGCACAGCTTCACAGCAGGGTTTATTATATTCCCCAGGAAGCGGAAAGTTTGTGGGTTTAGGAAGATGCTTTTATTTAACGTTTATACCAGGATACAGATCTGATTCACACGTCGAATTCTGTCCCACTACAATATCTCAATAGATCAACAGGATTGATGGCAGGAAAAGTTAAACATTAATGGAATTTTGTTGCAAATAAAAGATAGTTTGAAAATGTTCCAAATATTAAGTTAAAATCCTCCAGTTATGTCAATTTGCCTTATGATAATGATATTTTGGGGCACATTATTCTCTCCCATGGGCTTCAGAGTAGGGCTTATACCTGTCTACTGCAAAGGAAACGTTGAAGCAATTTCTGTGATGCTGATATTTTCAGCTGATTTTTTTTTCCCCATTTTGATAGAAACCAAATGCTTCTTTGCAAATATTTTGATGGAAAATCCCTGGCAAATTCCCACAATACAACTAAATCAATTGGAGTCCTTAAACTGTCCAAATTCCACAAAAATTAGCATCCCTAATATGTGTCCAAGGGGAATATGTGTACATTTTTAACTGGTTTATTGTGTTTGTATCATCCTTGGTTGTGCCCCTCTGCCTCCCTTAATTTTGGCTATTCCCAGCAATGATTGAGCACTATTACGAATGCTCCCCATCTGAGCATCCTGCTGCTTCTTACTTCCAGATAGTAACCTGGACTGGTGCAGGACATGGGACAAAAAGAAGGATTCCTTTGAGGAACATCATTTCAGATCATTTGTGACCACCTATCCCTAAAATGCCATTTGTCTCCCATTTCCCCATGCCTGGAAAACTATTGAGAGCAGTCGTATTCATTGCTAGCCCATTGCCACTCATCTTTCTAGCCTGTATATACTGATACACCTGTGACAACCACATGAACAGGAGATCTTCAAATGCAGCTGCAGATTCTGGACCATTTGAGATGTTTGCAGACTCCTTTTTCTCTCTATAACCTTATTTTGCTATGAAAAGCAACCACAAAACAACTGGTTCAGCCACATGAAACTGAACACATCCCACTCTCCTTTTCCCTCCCTGGGGTTGTATTTCATACTGAGTTTTAATGAACATTAGGGATATTTGCCCCTGTATGATCTATAGTTAATCTAATAACTAGATCCTGAAAGTACTAGTAGGATAATACTTGGACAGAAAAAGGGGCAGGGGAGAAAAAACAAGCAGGAGACAATAGGAAGAAAAAGTGATGAAAAAAATAAAGAAGAGGAAAAGAGGGATAGGAACAAAAAGGAAAACATGAAGTGATGCAAAAGCAAAAATAGGGAAAGGATAAAAGGAAAAAGTGCAGCTGGAGGAGGCAAAACAGAGAAGATGAATGGGTGGGCTGATGGAAGGTAAAAGAAGGGGAAAGCTGAGTAAGGAGTGATGAAAGAACTCCAGAGTGATCAGTTTTGCAGGTGCACCCCAGCAGGTTGCCTCTGATCGGCTCTCTCAGGGACACAGCATGTTACCTGGACTAATTTCTAAAGGAAATGAAAAGGAAATGGACTTGTTATAATGAACACCATTAATTCACCCCTTCAGACTGCACCGTTTGAGCAGAGAGTATCAAAATACTCAATTGTCATTTGTCTATTCCATTCTTCTCTGTTGCCTGTTGGAAATGACTGGTGAGCACATGCACCCCTGAGTAGCTGCACAGCCACTAATTAGCATATATATTGTTTGTCCTGGTACAAATTTATAGCAAACAGCAATATTTTACACTCCAGTAAAGTTAATAAATGAGGCTTTAGGCTATAAAAATTTCATGTGCTTTTGTGCAAAGGTCAATTATAAATAGTTAAGCACAGATTTATCCAAAAACTCCGGGCTTCAGCACTGGAACTATAAACTATAGTTTGGTCAGTCTGGTTTGCCAGCTGGACAAATTCCTCTCATACAGCCTCTGAGACCTCTCTCCAAAAGTGTTTTCAACTGTAGGGTGACTGATGTCCCATTTTAAATTAGAGTAGGAAGATGCTCTGAAGCATTGGAGGTACAATAGGAGGACACTGGGCCAGGCTTGGGAGGACTTTAATGGTTGGAGTTGTCCTCTCTGGTAAGTTCTAGGGTTAGGAAATCAGATGTAGTCACTCAACAGCTCCAGTGGACAAAAACACAGGAAGAACTAAAACTAAGGAACATGAGAGCCTTTCATTTCCAATATAGAAGGAAATCTGGGTTTAAGGGTATCACTCCTCAAGACTGCGAGCTTATAAGGTAGGGGATCAATGATATATGGGTACATTTTCTTTCTAGTACAAGGTGAGAGGAAAAGCGTTGATCTTCCCTGCAAGAGCCTGGCCTGTGACAGTGTGACAAGGTAACTCAATTGGAGAACATTGGAGATTACAGGATAGAATAGACAGGACACTGAATGCAGAAGGCTGATACACTGAGAACAGGAGCATCTGAAGACTTGACACTGCAAGAGGTAGGAGAGGAGAAGGCTGAAGCCCAGATCATGGAGGAAGCAGTGTTAAGCAAACTGTCATCCAGGATTTGTCATCAATGTTAACCTGGTAACCAGGCAACGGAGAGATATGCACGAAGCTCACTGCATCATCCAGAGTGAAAGGATGTGTTTGGAAGGGATGAGAAAGGGCTCAAGAGCTTTGTGATTCATGGGATCAGCAGCACATCATCGGGTTGACATCTCAGGGGACACACACACGCACACAGACTCCATAGGGTAAATCATGGGGGATGCAGGAAAGCATGGAAATGAAGGGAAGAGATCAGCACAGATGAGGGCTGTGCAGAAGACCCTAAGCTTCGATCACTGCTATCACCAGCTACCTCTGTGTGGTTCCTGCAGTTATTACTTTGGTTTTGCTTTCCCTCTCCAGGGCTGTCCATCCAGTGTGTCTCTGTGAAGCTTTGTTCTCAGCTATGGGTCATTTCCAGGCACTCGTATCATCCCTCCACCACCCAGAGACCATATCAGATGCCACCAGCTCAAACAAACAGATGCAGAGCCATTGGACTACAGTGA